TCGATCAACTCGTCGACTCTCGGCATCGGATAAGGGTCGAAAGATGATACTGCATTCAGTTTCGAGTAATCAACGCAGAATCTGAGCGTGCCGTCTTTCTTGGGTACCAATACCACTGGGCTGCACCATTCACTTGTTGAGGGCTCGATGATATCAGACTCCAGCATCATTTGCACTTCCTCTTTCAAGGCAGGGATCAGGCGTGCTGGCACTCTGCAGTGACTTTGCCTGATCGGCTCTGTTGCAAGCAAACGAATATCGTGATGCAAAAGTTTTGTTCTTCCTGGTTTGTCAGAAAAGAGACCCCCTGGAACTAGACTCTGGAACTCTTTTTGCTGTTTGGGTGTTAGATGATCAATTAGTGGGAAAGTTGAATTTGAACTAACAGGAAAATATTGTTCCTCCAATTCCTCTTCATCCTCCACTTTCCTCGCCCACAGCTGCTCTGACCATGAGCCTTTTCTCTCATTCCAAGGCCTCAAAAGATTAATATGGAAGATCTGAGACTTTTTTCTACGGTCAGGTACAGCAATCTCATAATTTGTGGGACTCAGCTTTCTAAGCACTTCATATGGCCCTTGCCATTTGGCCAAAAGAGAACTTTCTGTAGTAGGGAGCAATAACAATACCCTCTGCCCTGGGCTCAGTGTTCTTTTCCTACTTGACTGATCATACCAATGTTTCTGTTGCTGCTGTGCTTTTGTCATGTTAGCCCTCACAACCTCGGCCATTGAGTCCAATTTCTCCCTCATCTTCATGACATATGACAAAATGTTTGTTTTCTCACGTGCATTATCTCCTTCCCAAGCCTCTTTTAGCACATCCAACGGTCCCCGAACCTGACGTCCATATAGCATCTCGAATGGCGAGAAGCCTGTTGATGACTGTGGGACTTCACGATAAGCGAACATCAAATACGGCAACCATTGGTCCCAATCAGTTCCTGTATCAGACACAAACTTTCGTAACATGTACTTCAAGGTCTGGTTAAACCTCTCCACCATACCATCGGTCTGAGGGTGATAAGGAGTGGTCTGGATAGGATGTATGCGCAACATTGAGCAAACTTGTTTCATTAACTTAGACGTAAAATTAGTACCCTGGTCTGTGATTATCTCTTTAGGCAATCCTACTCGAGAAAAAAGTTGAACCAGTGCATTGACAACCTGCCTTGTCTTGATGTTTCTGAGAGGAAACACCTCTGGATAACGCGTAGCGTAATCAGCAACAACAAGAATGTACTTATTACCAGATCTACTCCTTTCCAAAGGTCCTACGATGTCCATCGCAATACGAGAAAATGGTATGTCAATAATAGGCAAGCTTACCAGAGGTACTCTGTCACTCTTTTTAGCTGGTCTCACCATCTGACATTCTGGGCATGATTTACAAAAATCGATAACGTCTGTATAGAGCTTAGGCCAAAAGAACTTACCAGCAATTCTCGCCAGTGTTTTCTGCTGGCCTAAATGTCCTGCCCAAGGTACGGAATGTCCCAATTGTAATACCTTCAATCTCATAGACTCTGGCACCACCAATCTCTCACCTTCAGCACTTATTAAGTACAACTTGTCATCCTTGATCACCAGTTGATCTTTCTGAATTAATGCCGACCTTGTACTATCAGCCTTAGCTTTCTCAAACAACGGTTTTAAAGTTTCATCCTGCCTTTGCAACTGCACAATATCATGAGGAATTTGTTCGAGATCATCTGAATTCGGTTGTTTCACATTTTCAATTACCTCAGTACCCATTACTTTATCCTGCCGTTTCTCCCTCCTGGATTTCCTGTTTTTGGAAGCCACATTGAATGGTAAATCTTGTAAAAGTTGTTTAGTAACCTCTTCTTGATTAGCCTGTGCTCTGGTTACAACCCTTGCATCTGCTACCTTGTCATCACTCTGCAACAAATCCACCAACACAGGTATATCTCTGCCTAATATCACTGGATAAGGGGATTTGTCAATTACTCCAACTGATAACTTATAGGCTTGGCCTTCAATTTCAATCACCATCTCCGTTTTAGGATACTCTTTTTCATCGCCATGTATACAACAGACTCTCAGCTTATCCTGTTTCAGCACATTTGACTTTCCCAAACACTCTGGTCTCACTAATGTCTGGCTTGAACCTGAATCAACCAATGCTTTAAACAACGTATTTCCAATCTTCACCTCCACTACTGTGTCTGTGTTCAGTTCAATCTCATTTAGCTTCACAGAAGATCTTAACTCATAACACAAGCGAGTAGCAGACATGTTTTGCACTGGACACTCAGCTCTTTTATGCCCTGCCTGACCACATGTATGACATATTATCACAGACCTTCTGTTATACTGGCTAACTCCACTTGCACGCATACTGTTACTCAGAGTAGAACTATTTTGCCATGTCCGTCTATCAGCATCAAAATTTCTCAGACCACTACCCTTAGCATCCCCAGACTTACCGGTTGGGCTGTGGTGGATGTCTCGCCATCGTCTCGGCTGATGCAGTGATCGCCTCGCAGCCATGAATGTCTCTGCCAGTTCTGCCGCTTGTTGACACGATGTAGGGCCATTCTGCTTCACCCACGTTCTTGCTTCTGGGTTCAGCAATTTGAGAAACTGCTCCAGTACTATTTGATCACCAATTTCTTGTTTAGTTCGACGTGAAGGGACCATCCACTTTTCGTACAGATCTTTCAGTCTCACATACAGTTCACGTGGTGTTTCATCATCACCTAGACTGTACGCTCTGAAACGTTGCCGAAAGGTTTCTGGATTAATTTCAAACTTGTCAAGTATCGTCTGTTTAACACAATCATAGTCCATTGAATTCTCAGGCTCCATAGCCACATACGCTGCTCTTGCTTTACCTGTTAGTAACGGCAGGAGATGTAACACCCAGTCCTGACTCGGCCATTTGCACGCTTGAGCAATACGTTCGAAAGTCATTAAATAATGCTCAATATCCTCATCACTTGACCAGGGCAGCATCCTTGGGCAGTTAAAACTTGTTAAACCATAATCTCGTCTTCCCGTTGTGACCTCATCTGCTGCTGATGTCGTCGTATCACCTAGTGCCTGTTGTCGCCTGGGACGTGTATTTGCATCCGACCTCAACTCTGTAGCCTCTGTGTCACTCACTGTTGGCACCCCCCTTGCCAGCCGATCCTGTCTTTCCTGGTGAACTTCGGACTGTAGTTGTACGAATTGATGTTGAAGTATCCGATATTTGTGCTCGTGACGTTGCGCTTCTTTTTCCAGCCTTTCTTCTCTTTGCTGTTGGCTATGCAGAAAGTTTTGCAGCATTATAGCCATCGGCTCTGACGTACTACCTGAAGTCCTTTCATCGTGCATTGGAGATGAACTCGTTGCCTCCAGTTCCTCTGCTGGTTTACCCTCATCTTTTCCCCTAGCTCCATCTTGCCTCTTTGGTGGCATTTTCCCTTTGACCAGAGATCAACCTCTGCCACTTTCCTTTAAACGATGTGCAGCTGGGGCAGCATGATTTCCACTGCATGTGTACTCGTTTCCCTTTTAAGGCCTGGAACCACCGCTGCCACCATGTGTCGGGATGTGGTTTCAACTACAGCCGCCTGATGTTAGAATGCCACACTGATTTGTTGTCAGAGGTCTAGTTGAATACCATTACCCTGAGTCGTTGCGTCAATTTATCTGCCGATAGGCCCGGGAAAGGATGGAATAACTGGAGTACCATGCAGGAAATCGTTGAAGGTGAATTTATTGAGGACAGCTGTCTCAGCACACGTGCTCCAAATCAAGTTCAAAAATAAACAAAAGAAATCATCAAAAAAATAATCAAAATAAACATTACAAAACATAAATAAAACATGCTGAAAGCAGCAAAAACATGGCATCAAATCCAGCCTCGAGGAACAAACCTCTGACAATCACGACACATCCTACAGCATTGGACTGTACTAGTACTGGCACATGGCCCGTCTCTCCCCACTCAATTAGCCTCACTCCTTTATATATGCTATTTTCCCGCCAAAACTAGTGGGTCATACCAACTGTAGGGGTCGAATAACTCCCCTGACAATGGAAACATTCAATATCAGTGTTCTTGCATATAAATCCAAACAGATACATAATCACAAATAATATCCTTAATCAAAAATAAACAATATGAAAACAATTATAACATTAAACAAAAAGACAATGTAAACAACAACACTGTGAACGGATGTTCACATGGTGATAACCTACAGGTTCATCATCACAAGAACAAACAGGAAAAATGAGCTGGTGACATTATTTGTGTTTGAGTGTGTGAGCGAGCGAGTGTGTGTGTGGGTGTGTGATCCACAGAGAGATATCGTTTTTTTGTGGTCTTTTTTTATCAATGAAATTAATCTAGCTACCACATTTTAGTTCGATAATGTTTTTTATTTTAGATTTTGAATTTTTAGGGGATTTATGGTACTAAATTATATTCACGCTGTATTTATAATCCACTTTTTGATCATAGACGTGAAAATATCATTTCCAACTTAAAATGTACCACTTTCATAGAATGCTTTAGAGAAACAGTCTGACGTTTTCTTTTTTCAAAGACGACACTTGGCAGATTATTGTGTGATTAAGTGATTTATGAAAAATAAAACATGTCTTACTCTAAAACGGCGAGAAAATCAAATCCATATATCTAAACAAGTTATATAAAAAAAATTGAGCCTTATTTCTCAAAAAAGTTTGATTTCAGTCAGACTGTGTTGGCCGCAGTACCAAATGCTTCCACTAGAGGAAATTTTCCCATTCATTTCAAATGCTCTCATTTTTGACCGCGAGGAACGCTGTGACTATTTTCTTCAGGAGCATTTAACCTGTTCATGATTTTTCTTGTGTTCACATAGCCCTTTACCGAGTTTCGTACCATTCCGATAAAGAAAAAAAACTTAAAATAAACAAAAAACGTTAAGATTTTCAGTCAAAAATGACCAAAGAGCCCTACCAGATGATCTGATCATGTTTTCTCCTCTCTTGATCCCACAGACGAGTCTCTGAGCTCCAAAACCAGCCTGTTTTTCGTGATCTCCAACGAGGGCCACCAGAACCTGCACGTGTCCCAGGCGAGCCTGTGGTTATACTTCAAACTCCTGCCTAATGTCCTGGAGAAGGGCTCTCGGAGGAAGATCACCATCAAGGTTTACTCGCAGGAGCCGGGTGTCGGGAGCAAGTGGAACTTGGTGGAGAAGCGCGTGGATCTTAAACGCAGCGGCTGGCACACGTTCCCGTTGACGGACGCCGTGCAGATGGTCTTCTCCAAGGGCGATCGGCGGCAAAACCTGGACGTTCGGTGCGAGGGATGCGACAAGGTGGGAATCGTGCCCGTTTTGGTGAACACAAACGACGAGTCTCACCGTCCCTTCCTGGTCGTCCAAGCGAGAGCTTCGGACAACAAACATCGCATCCGAAAGCGAGGCCTAGAATGCGACGGGAGCAGTAGCTTGTGTTGCCGACAACAGTTTTACATCGATTTCCGCCTCATCGGCTGGAACGATTGGATCATCGCCCCGTCTGGGTACTTTGGGAATTATTGCGAAGGGAACTGTCCCGCGTACATGGCCGGGGTTCCCGGATCGGCTTCGTCCTTCCACACCGCTGTGGTGAACCAATACCGCATGCGGGGAATGAGTCCAGGATCCATGAACTCCTGCTGCATCCCCACCAAACTGAGCACCATGTCCATGCTGTACTTCGACGACGAATACAACATCGTGAAACGGGACGTTCCCAACATGATCGTCGAGGAGTGCGGCTGCGCTTGAGAACAATATCATAGTGAGAAAGTAATATTTATGACTTAAATGAGTTGTTCACTTCAGATTTAAAATTTCTTGATGACTAGCTCACCCACATATCATCCATGATGTACATCTTTCTTTCTTCAGTCGAAAAGATAATGGACTTCAATGGGGTCCAAACGGTTCAAGGTCCAAATGAGAGTTTCATTGCAGCTTCAAAGTCTCGACACGATCCCAGATGATCAATAAGGGTCATATCTAGACAAACCATCGGCCACTTTCTATTAAAAATAAACACTTTTTAACCACATGTGCAATCGTGCACATCCACGATTTCACGCATAATCACGTTGCGTAACGTAAGCGGAAAATATCAAATTTTCTCCTCCGACTTCAAAATCGTCCGACATCGTTGTTTTACCTTTTATTTATTTATTTATTTATTTTGTAAATGGCATTTGACATTTGTTCGCTTTGTAAACACTAGATCTACACTTACGCCTACGTCACGCTTGACCTTTCAACGTGATTACGCGGCACAAACCAACATTTGTGGTTAAAAAGTATATAAATGTTTATTTTTTTTAAATTAAATGGCTGATCTTTTGTGTAGATAAGACCCTTATTGATCATCTGGGATCGTGTCGAGACTTTGAAGCTGCACTGAAACTCTCATTTGTACCTTCAAACCGTTTGGACCCCATTGAAGTCCATTATATGGAGAAAATCCTGAAATGTTTTCCTCAAAATCCTTTGTTTCTTTTCGACAGAGGAAAGAACGACATGAATATCTTGGGTGAGTACGTTATCAGGAAGTTTTAATTCTGAGCTGGACTAATCCTTTAAGGCGCGGTCTAATATTATGTGCAAAAAAGGTCGAAATGTGACCGTCACACATCCACACTCAAACACACACACCCCAACTCTTCCACGCATCTTTGTACATATATTTATGTATGTTCTTTAACCATCGAGTGATTTAGCTCCTTTCTACAGGTTTGTACGACTCTTTTACATTAAAGCGACGGGAACGTCTTTAGAAATAATGGAACGAACTGAAAGAGGTGATCTTAAAGACATGTATATCCGTGTACCTGCCCAGAACTGAATCGAAAAGCACTGACTATCTTCTCAAAACAACGTCAGCACTTCCCACAATGAGTGACAACCAATCCATTTCAGAGCGTCTGCAACACAACGTTTGCGGTTTCTCGAGGTCTATTCATAAGTCGTGTCTCGGGAACCTGATTATTCACGCAACAAGCCGAAGACACACCGAACGGCGCGCGCGCGCCCTTGAAAACACCAGTGACTCGAGCGATCTCATGGTGCAGCATAGCACTTGCAAAGAAATATTGTAAATGCACAATATAAAGCACTTCGCCTTCGAAGGTACCAAGTGGTTCACAATTCTTCAGAAATAAGTGCCGCACAAGCTATGCAATGTATAGTAGTGACCTACGCCGGATGACCCACACTAGCTACTTGTAATGAACTGTCGTCAATACTTGAAATGTAAACTTTCGCTTCCTTCTCTGAGCGGATGGTTGTTACAATGTTTGCACTGAAGTTGCATTATTAGTAAAGAAGAAGAAAAAAAAAACCTGCCATTGAAAAAAGAAAGTTATTTTTATAGAAGCAATTAAATGCTGTTCAAGTGTATTATACCGAATTATGGAACCAAAGAGGCCAAGACTTTAGCTATCGTGAGACGACGAGGCCATCGGATTCTTTTGTAAGATACTTTTTAAAGGCCTAAACGATGTATCAGGGTACAATAGAATGGATTCCATTTCCAACTTGTTTTTGTACAGTAGATAAATGGAATATTTCATATTTTTCCATCAATTTTAATTGTCTTTTTTTTTTTTTTTCCAGTTTTCTATTTAATACTTCTAGCATCTATTCCGGAATCATTTAGAGTCAAACACATGCCATCTCTGTACAGCTTATGTAAGATAAAAATGCTTTTAAATATTTTGTTCTTTGTAACTATTATGAAATAAATTTCTTATTCTGCATCAAGACGGACTGCCTTGTGTTACATGTACATCATACACTTCATCATCGGTTCATGCATTCCCTGGGAATCGAATTTTAAGAAATATACCGTGTTTGCTCGAGCAAGCCTCACTATGAGTTGCACAAACCGGTAACCCTAAATATTAATCTGCGGTGTGTATTTTGCATGGTTTGCGCTAATTCACCAAAGAAAACTTCCAAAAAATATGGAAGTACTCTTAATTACACTTAACTAAACAATGCTGGGTTGTTTCAACCCAAATTTGGGTCAAATATGGGCAAATGTGTTTTTTTTGTGAGCCATGTTTTGGAAAGACACACACAACCTCTCAATCTGGGAATTATGCTGTTAATCACTGTGAGAAACCAGTGGAAGATGAATGTTTAGACGTCAGATCAGAGCGGAGAAAGCCTGTATCTGACACTGGAATAATAATAATAAAGAACAAAACACTGAATTAGTGTGCATAATTATATACATAACACTACTGGTCAAAACTAGCTTTTGAATAAAAGTCTCTACCGCATTGATTTGCTTAAAAATACAGCAAAAACATTGAAATATTATAGCAATTTAAAATAACTGTTTTCTATATGCATACATTTTAAAATGACATTTTTTTCCTGCGATGCAAACTGAATTTTTCATGTCTTTAGTGTCTAAGCTAATTGATCTTTCAGAATTCATTCTTATAATGATTTACTGAATTATTATCAATTACTGTACTTTTTTTTGGAAACTGTGTGATTAATCTTGCTTTTCAGCATTATTTGATTATTAGAACGTAAAAAAAAAAACAACATTTATTTGAAACCGAATCTTTTGTAACATTATAAATTTCTTTACTGTCACTTTTGATTAATTTAATGTAATGTTATTTTTTTTTAATCTGACTCCAAACTGTTTTCAACACTGATAATCAGAAATCCTCATATTAGAATGATTTGTGAAGGATCATGTGACTCTGAAGACTGGAGTAATGATGATAAATTCAGCTTTGATCACAGAAATAAATTACATTTTACTATATATTCACATAGAGAACAGCCATTTTTAATTGTAATAATATTTCACTGTTTTTACTGCATTTTTGATCAAATAAATGCCTTGCTGAGCAGAAAGAAATCGGTTACACTTTATTTTAAGGTGTCATTTTACAGGGTAATTGTATATTTAAGTACTGAGTAATATATAGGGTAGGGTTAGGGTTTGGTTGAGGGTTAGTTGCATGTAATTACGCATAATTTACTGTTATTAGTATGGTAAGTACATGTAACATATGCACCAAGGACACTATAAAATAAAGTGTTTTTATTACCCAAAACCTTTGAATGCTATATAATTACACACACACACTTATATGTTGACTGGTAGTGAGTGAAATTAAAAGCCTGTTGAAAAAGAAAAAAACAGTTCATCATAATATCTGAGCTGCAAAAGCACAATAACACTGAATGATGTGGACAGAGTTTGACATTTGTGTTCCAGCACTCGTACAAAACAACACAGACTCTAATGTGATGTGAACACACACACACACACACACGTTTCCCTCCAAACATTATTTTACAGGCTTGCAGCTTCAGTTCTCGCCTCTCTGCTCAAACACTAAGAGAAACAGTGTGGAAAAGATCATGTGAGACCAAAACACAAATCTCATAGACGATACCAAATATGGTGAGTGATCTGGACTGAAGTTCATAAACCAGTCAGACGAACAAATCATCTCGTGTAACGAGTGACTGGCTAAACAATCAATGAACTGAAGCTCAATGAGCGCAGAACTGATGCTGCTAATAAATGTCTCTGGAGTCTCGGAGGCCAAACACGGTTTGTTTGTCATTCGGCGACTGTGAACACTCCAGAATTTTTCATCCTTGTGAGTTTGCGGATGGAAATTTCAGGAATGTTCCACTTCAGTAATCAAAATATGTTGATCGCAGATATTTTTACCCACCGCGTCCAGGAGACACTCATACTGAAAAAGGCCTGATCCGTCTCAGTGCTTCAACGACTAGTTTCTGTCATCGTTTACTCACTTAAAACCTCTATGATTTACTTTCTTCTGTAAAACACAAAATCAGCCGTTGGACAGGACATACAATGAGCAGCACAGTCCAAACTCCAAAAAAAAAAAAAAACACTATAAAAGCATCATAACTATATGCAAGATGAATGAGGATGAATGAGTTATTTACTGATGATCTCATTTGCAGTACATTTATGCATGAGAATGGTGAATCAGTTACATTTAAATTTAATTTAAGATATTATGACTTAAAGCCACCCTGTAGTCAATAATTGAATCCCTTAAAACATATTTGATCACCAAAATTTCATATTTAAAGTTTTTTCCTTGAAGAAAATTACTGTATGGCTTAAAATAGCTTGACTGTAACTCAACACCGTTGCCTCATTTAGAATGTGAGGTGCTATGAATATGCAAATGAGCCCCGCCCCACTCACTCACTTGATCGATCACACGTTGATCTGATTGGTTACAAGGTCGTTTGTGACGTCAGAAACCGTGTTTTTGAGACTGTCTTTGGTTCACTGGAGGAAATACTAAGCAATGCTGTCCACTTATGAACTTACACATGATTTAAGCGTATTAAAAACACCACATACACACATAAACAACATTAAAAGCTGGATTTTCACCACTGGGGGACTTTAAATGTTTGTTTTTAAATATAAACACTGTAGATGTATTGTTTATTCATGTTAACTGTTAACTAATAAAACTTTATTGTAAAGTACTGTATTTATTGATGTTATGAATGAGCTTTTATTTTTATTTAAATTCACCATTCGCCAAATTTAAAGTAAAGTAAATTTCACACTGTAAAAAATATTGATGGTTTAACTTAAAAAAGTAAGTAACCTGGTTGCCTTAAAATTTTAAGTTCATTGAACTGGAAAAAGTGAGTCAATACAGTGAAGGAGATTAATTTAATCATTAGAAACTCAAAATTATATGTTATCTGAACTAAATAAATTATTTAAGTTGATTTGACAAAAGAAAAAATGTTGTGATTACTACACTGTAAAAAAATATTGTTGGTTTAACTTAAAAAAGTAAGTAACCTGGGTTGCCTTAAAATTTTAAGTTGATTGAACTTGAAGGAAAGATCAGAAACTCAAAATAATAAGTTATCTCAACTAAATAAATTATTATAAAGTTGATTTGACAAAAGAAAATATGTTGTGATAACAAATCTTGAAAATATACTTCAGAACGCTTAGTTCAGTGCAAGTTTTAGTTAATTTAATATTTATATTTATTTAACCTTTATTACAATTACAAATCCTTCATATGAGTTGCAATATTGTACACAAGTTGTCTGCACTCATTTAATTTAGTTTTTTCTGTAAATGCAATGAAAATGCTAAATAATCCGTGAGCGAGAGTAAATGACGACGATGCCAGAATGTTCGTTTTGGGATGAACAATTCATCTACGGTTTGGATACGACGATGCAAACGACCCGTTAGTTCAAACACACACATCCCCCCTCCGAGTAAATCCAGTATAAACTCCAGATCACTTCCATCTCGGTCCACCCGCGGTGAAGAACGAATGGCTTGTCATTCT